ACGCGGGATGTCTCTGTTTTTGGCTCGTGCCGATGACAGCGCAGCATAGCCGATATTAGGGTAAGAGCGATTAATGCGTTTGGCGAGAGAGGGCGTCGGCGACGGCTTTCGTAACTCCTGCGACATGAGGTGTGACTGCAGCGAACTACATCAAAGTTGTCAGTGTTTACTCTCCTAATTGTGAATATTTGTCTGAAGAAAAGGTGAATGCGAAATGAGTGGGTTGTTTGCATTGCAGAACCTTAAAGCTCAGTCTTCAATCAATTGATCCAAAAGGGCGTCAAAGTTAACCTGAGAATTGTAAACTTGACAAGTCAACCGTAGAATTCCTCTGTCACCTCTTTTTATTGTCTGGTATCGATGTATTGCAGACAAGAAACAGACCAATTCCGGAACTTGAATGACCAAGCTAAGCGCATGATACCTTTCGATGTTAGTCTACATTTTACCAACGTTCCCTCTGATGAGATTTCAAACATCAAAGGTGCCATGTGGACAAAGTTGGCCTGCTAATATACCGATTAAACATCTTGCCCCGCATTTGTAAGAAAGATTTCCAACTTTGCTGTGATGGAAATATCGATCGTTAACTTGTGAGAGCAACGTTGGTCAACCGTCTTGGATTTATGTTAGCTGACAAATTAATGGATCTTGTAGATAATAGCAAATTACGCTACGCCATTGAAGGGACATACTTGTACGAAAGGTATATTGACGACAGTTTTGTAGTAATTGACATGGTCCAGCAAGGCATTTTTTGGAAAAGTTATACAGCTGCCATCGGAAATCAATGTTTTTGTGGAGACTTACTCAGGGGTTTCTTTTTTACTTTCTCGACTTTACTCTGAAGAGCTGAACAGATGGTTCGCTCATAAGATCAAAGTTAACTTTAACCTAGCGTGTGTTAATGTCTTTTGAAATGCCACCCACCCCTAGTTTGCACATTTTCCATAGGCGCTCAAATAATATGCTCAGAAGTATCAATCCAGACGCAATTACGATGTATCATATCTAGTCTACGTAATAATGACTATCCCAACAAATGATTCGCAAGATTCGGGGAAGGGATTTCTAGAAGTGAAAAAGCGAATGAATGTCTCAAAGGAAATTGTCAACATTACGATACCATAAAAAAGAGAGTGAAACGACAGAAGACTCCGTTATCTAGTACGTCATGCAATAAAGAGGTGCTATTACGCGGCGGAGCTCGAGCTGTTACATTAGAAATAACACTGCTCTATGGATCCAAGTTGGTCAGACATAGTTTTCAGCTTACCGCTGCATGTGTGTACTTGCGTTAGCGCGTACATTGGCCGAACCGAGAGAAGGCCATCAACTAGGATTATGGAACAGATTTTACGGAAGTTAGCAACAAGTAACATTTAACTCCCTGCCGGCTCGAGCGCTCAGCATCTGTTTGATTACACTCATAACTGCTTCAAGGTTATTAACTGGCAGAATTTTCCGAGCTTGCTTCTATTTCCTGAGACCTGCTATCGCGCAACTGATGTCTAATCTCTACAAACAGCTCGACTTTGTGGCCAGTCTAGTTTTGTCGTGGTAAGGCGTGTTACTCATCGTTAATTTTAATGACCTTGAATTACTCGGTATTCTATTGGTTCCTCTATTGGTACCTTTACCTTTGTATTTCTTGGTTTCTGCAACAGTTTGTCTAAGCGCAGCTGATTGAGAAGACACAGAATTATCTAAATTCAAGTTATTCGGCCCCAATATTAGTCTCACTTGCTAACCAGTGCTTTGAAGGGAAATGGCTGTGTGAACTTCTAATGTTCGTCGGAAGTGATTGATAACAATTTTCTACTATAGGTGTTGCGTCGCAATCCAACTTTTAGCAAGTGTTTTGGGAAAGAACCTAGGGGTTATTACTGTAAAACAGTTCATACCCAGATTTCTGAGGTGTTATTTCATATCAATAAATCATTGACCAACTGTATGTGTTGAGTGCAGCTGGCAATGAAGCGTCGATATTAGTTGTCAAAAGCACGAATTTGAAAGAGATGAATGCGGAAATATTTCACAGCTCGGATCTCGTCTGCAAGTGCCTCGACACCGGACGATAAGATGGGATTGGCGGATGAATTATCCGCTTGACTTGCGAAAGTTTTAATTAGTCGGGTTATTGACGACCCTTTTCTCGTCTGTAAGCGTCAATTGAGCTTATTACATTTAGACACCTGGTAGCACACTGATCCACGACCAACCAGAAAGATTCAATAACCAACAAAGAATCGTAAATAGTGCACAGCTGCTGCACAAACAACTAGCCACATTCAGGGTTGAACTACGGCGCTGCATACCGACAGTCAAATAAGATGAGCACAACCTAATCCAACATTATCCTCAACTAAATTGCTTCACACAGATAACCGTTACACAATACGCAATGTTTCGGTTGTACAAAGGCAAATTAATTTATTTGCGCTAACACCATCGTACATAAGAATGATGTTTGTCTCATCAACTGAGCACTCTGCAAACAACGGCCATTGCCAAATCCCATAGGATTGTAACGACACTGTTGGGGAACATAGAGCATAGACATGGTCTGACCAGAAACTATGGTAAAGATGCAGGCAAGCAGGCATGTTAATCTTGGTCGTTAATTGGAAGTGGAATATGATACGTGAGATAGTCGCCGGGAACTGGACACTAAGCGTCAGACTGCAGGACGTAGCAACAAACATATTCACACACCTATCGCTTGGGTGTGAAGCCAAAAGGGAGTTGCGAGTCTGTGGTATAGTGCCTACAAGGACCAGCAAAACAACAAGCAAATATCAACGGGAAACGAATTATGAGTAAAAAGCAACACACTGGCAACTGTACTTGTGATTTTAACAAAGGGACGAGGCGTTTGGGTAATAATCTTATGACAGGCGTAGAGTGTCGGCGATTAAGCCAATTGTATGTTGCTTGGTCAACAGCTCCAAGCATGGTTTAAGTTTAGTTAAGTGCTCTTATTCGGAAGAACTAGCCACAATAATGCCATCGAGCTGGGAGTATGTAAAGCCAAAGCCACGAAGACGTCAATACAGCAAGGCTCAATTTAAAGGGCGTCTTTAGGATCCCAACAAAACAGAATTGGTGATGACGACTGTTTATGGAAAGCACGGTTCTTTGACTGGAGTTTGGTGACAGGTAAGCGTAAAATTGACCATGTGCAAGGTCGTATTACCGAAAATATTAATAGCTAAGTGACCCATGGAAAATCACAAAATACATTTGAAAAATGGTAAGCTCAGGAAATTATTGATAAAGCTAGGCGAAAGTAAATTTCAAGGATGACAGAGCCGCGCTCGCAGCCATGGTCAACAAATGTAGGGTGGTAATTAGATTTTTGATTGTCATGCACGAAAATGCGAGAAACCTCAGAGCGGCTGTACCCAAATGGTATTAACACAGCGACAAGTTTTGAAAAGCAAGTAGACACGAGTAGCAAGAATCACGTGGAAGGGCAAGAGAACAACAATACAAAGGGTAGCTCAACAAATACAGATAATAAAATCCTGCGTAGCAAAATGCCGAATGTTTTAAGTCCCTTCCGGTGTTCAATGTTGAAATTTACTAATTAAAGGGTGCTTACAAAGTGGATGTATATAGTTGTGTTTGAAAGTAAGGTTTACATGACCTTTACTTGTTTAGAATTGCAATCTAGATTTCAGTAAGTCACGTATTTTGGTGAGGAAAACCGTTGCTTTCTAACTTCTGTTTATTTGATGTTTGGAAAAATATACACATTGAATGATGTATACTGAACCAGTAGCTCATTATGCATTACCTTCGAGCCAATGTTTAAATCTAACCTTAGATCAAAGCTAATTGATAAACTAGATAGTTCGGCTTACTCCGATGAAAGATTAAGGTAGTTAGCATAACCACATTATTTTATAGTAGAACAGCTGAGCAATGGAATTTGCTGTGTTGCATCCAATTAGCCTTAAGGTCTAAATATCAAACCCGTTACCGGTACAATACAAATGTAGAATGTCTCCCTCCGTTTAAATTATGTTATAAGTCAAGTTAATAGAAAACTAACGGCTTGCTTCCAATACGGTTGTTGCATAACACTTCATAAAGACTATTTTCATGTTATTTAATACTGTGATAGTTTACCTTACGATATTATTCTTTTGTCCAAACAAACGAACAGAATGAAACCAGCATCTGCAGTTTACCTCTTGTTCCGTGACATACGCCGCTTCCGGATGCATTTATAGATTTCAAATTCCAGCATTGGAGACCGTCGATCGATTTGTAGTAATGTGTGTTTTGTAGTATTCTTTGCTAATAAAATATCTATAGATATTTAGATATTCAGAACCGTTAATACACACGCTAGATTTTATCGACATTTTCAACTAAATGTGCCCTCAAATACGCAGCTTCTTTTATTCCATTAGACTAAATCGCTAGCATGTCTCGCGCTAACTATCTGTTATTATCATAGTAAGTATACAAGGTGTATACATACCATGGCACATAAAATAGATGATCATCTATAGATTAAGACAAACATATTTCAACAGGATTTTGCATATATCAATTTGGATCTTAAGGGGTTTTTTCAAGCTTGACGAACCAATTCATAATTGGATAGCAGTTAATAATCAGATCGATGATCACAAAAGGTTATGCGAGTCAGTAGATAATTAACAGTAAGTTTCCAATGAACTGCAGTTCGTGTATACAATACAACAAGTACGGAAATTCTTTGATTGATCTGCGTCACGTTTATGTTAGTGTTGATTCCGGTGATAAGAGTTTACCTATCGCATATCATGTTGCGAAAGTATACAAAAGATGTAAAACTGGCCGTGTGAACACTGTTTAGTAAACACTTTATATCTCCACCTAGTTTATTCTGTTTTCGTAGTTATGGGTTTTAATGATTTTGACACTGTCATCGAACGTTAGTTGATTTCTTGCACTATATATTGTGATTATACACTTTCTCTGTCGCTTTTATTTTCCGTATTCAGAGATTGAAATGCTACCGCAGGTACTTAGGTTGGTTCATCCGGGATCTTGACGCATCAAACAATCGTCGGCTGGCGAACTCGTGCTGAAGAGCGGATTTCGAACAACCATCATCAGAACTAACACCGACATGAATATAAATTACTGACGAGCATGACGTGACACGCATATCAATCGAAGACTTTCGATATGTTGTATTACTTGAAAGACCCCCGACTCTTGGAAATGTACCGATACCACTAACCACTATGTCTTTTCACAGCTATCAACCTAAATTGAGTAATGGCTCATCTTACCTTAGGTGGCTTTTGCGTCAAGAGGGAAACTTTGCCGCACTATAGTCTACACAAACCCTATGTGTGTCCCAGAACTTACGAATTCGCAATCGTTCTCAAGCCTATTGAGAGAAATTGTAACAGTATCTGCTTCAAAGTAAGAAACATTTATCTCCCTTTAGTAATTAGAGAAACGCAGTAAGTAGTCAGTTTTGTTGTGCAATTACCTTAGAAACATAAGACTGGGTTAATGCTTGAGATCCGATTTGAATTTAAACTAAACAACGTTTCTTTCAAAAATAAGCTTATACTTGGTTGTTACGAACTTATAGAGAGTGCTAACTTGCAATCAGAAAACAACTACAAATAAAACAAAACGTGTTGTGAAAATCTGTCAAGTAGAAAGTGCTGAATAGTTATGAGATGCAGAGTCATCGGTGGTTTTTCTCTGGGCATAATACTTGTAAAGGCTTACATGCCGGGAGTGGTGATTAATTTACGGTTATATGTTAAAAATTTTAGGATTAAAAGCTGTAAAAATTGGAGGTGTACGTAATTATTCATAATCAAATTGGATAGCTTGAAAGGGAAAGCGATTTGTAGTTCTTACCTACAATGGATGGTGGGTGCTAAGAATGTTATCATTTTAAGGAATTCACAGAACTCTAAGGATACGTTTGCTTTCTGACCCAAAGTTGGGTTGGGTTAGGTTTCTGACCCAAAGTGATAACATCAGTCTACAAAGCATAGACGTCTTTTGAATAAATATGCTGACTGTACATATTTCCATCAAATTAGTAACTAACCAAACGAGTATTTAAGGCTGATTGTGTTGTGACTATATACTAGGCTGAACATCAGTATTCCTGATAGTCAGATGAATACGATGCCCCATATTATTCCTAGAAAAACCAGTTTGAACAAATTACGCTGAAAATCAAGGAAGTAAAATTACAGCCAAATACAATTGTTATGCAACACCGCGTTTTTATTCTTGGTGGTTAAAACACATGTGCATGAGTTGTACAGGAAATTCGTTGGCTAGTTACCTAGAGGGGATGCGTTACTTCCCTTGTGGTTAAAGCAAAAGATTGTTAGTCGACAATGATCTTAAGGGGGTTACTGACCCTCCAATTGATTTTGCCATGCTGATGAAGCACAGCTTGTGGCTTCACTAGGAATCATCCTAGGTTATGACGACAGCAGATTGTGCTCCGCAGCTTGTAAAGTGAAGCGGCATTTGCACACCTTCACAATGTAAGAAAATAAAAAGGGACAGAACGGCAGGCATACCTGTTTTTATGATGATATATGCATACGTCGTTGCTGGTTTACCATACTGTTACAATTTTCCATTGCAATTACCCAGCAATCCATGAACTAGGTTGCTACCGCATAAATCTATTCCTACACATATTAATAATCCAGATGTCAACTGCTTGCCACTGGGTCTACGTAGGCACACTATGATATTTCCCACACATTGACTAAAATAAGAACAGCAATCCGTAGTTCTAAATCGTTGTTTTCCACTGGCTTTTTCTCTAATGTGACGCAACTCCTTCATCCAAAAAATCGAACAAACATTTTGGAATAGAGATATAATATGTGCATAACCATCAATGCTAAATTGTGTTAAAATCACCAGAGAATGCATCATATTTCTCCGCATATAAAAACGTTTTCGCAGTTATCTTCTAGAATTAAAAATATTCTTTATGTAACGCGGAAGCTTCAATAAAATTCCACAAAAATAATGTGATCATTTTATTGTATGTAGTGTAGTTCTTGGAAATGGCTGTATGAAGCTATAGATAGAGTAAGTCGCAAAGAGAAATTGACATTTTGTAGTTGTAGGTATTTTCTTCAATCGCAATATTGTCAGATCTATAACAATTGTAATGAAACAGTAGTACCGAATTTTATATCTTGCTAGAAAATTCCTCTTCCTATAAGTCACGATTGTTTCGTTTAGTTGGGCAAATTTAATCTCCATTCCATATGAATTAACATGGTGCCTACAGAGGATGGTTGTTCTTTCTATTTGTAATAATGATAAGATGGGATATAGGATGATCACATGCAGGTGAATGGAGCTTAGTCCATTCTTACGCCTAAGAATGGTAGCAGCATCACCTATATTGCAAAACTCTGTAAACCGTAAGTCTGTAGATTCCTAGGCGTCAGCATTCGGTCGACTCTCATTAGAGACACTCTTAAAAATCAGCCAAGGTAATTACAGTCGACGGCTTCAACAGTTTGGTCGACATTTAAATGTATCCGTAATACGCTTACTAATAACCCAAAAACTCCAAGAAGCATGACTGTGGTATCAGATAACGGTAAATATGTATCGCTGAAAATTGCTGCCGGCCAAATTTGACTATCAGTTGTTTGATGAAGCAAATCTATCCCATGAAATGCATCCGCTTTGGATATCTTTTGCAGCATTCGTGACCTATTTTGTCAACAATCGTACAAGTCGTATCAGTATACATGCATTTGTATGATCCGTCACTTTAATATTAAATTTTGGACCTGCTTGTGGTCAAAAGATGCGACCTATCGATCGAATTGAAAATTAGAAACGGACGTATAGATTAATAAGTCATGGCATAACGGTATGTATGGAAACACTCACTCCCACGGTACTGAAACACCTGAGCATGTTCTGTCTTGCTACTAAATGAGTGATGAAGAATTCCAAGCATCTGTCTTCCGGTTGTGCTATGAATGCCGCTATCATGATCAGAATATATCTAATGCGAGCACCGGAGTGGGATACGGTTTTGGGCGCCGTCGCACCTTAGGCAAACACGTAATGCGTGATTCTGTGTGTCATCACAATAGAGAGACTACTCAATCGATTCACCTGATAGGACCTAATATACTAATATTCAAACTGATCGAAAAAGTTAAGTACAGCATATAATATTGGAAACAAGCAACTTACTAATTAATTACTATGCTTTTGGTATTTGCCATTTAATGTTAGCAGCAATATAGTTTACTTTTCATAATACTTTTAAATGTGATACTCAAGTTAGCAAAATTTTAGGTGTCGCCTCCAACACTGCTCTTATGACCGGTTTTATTTTCCTTCGCCCTCGTTCTGCAGCCGAGTTGGAACTCGCAGCCTGCTAAACAAATTTAGGACACAAAATTCACAAGGTCAATAAAAAGCAGTGAGCTGCGCTTCGCACAGTGTTTAGGCACATGCAACATGTATATTTCACATTAAAACAAGGTCTCCATAAATTAAGGCAGTAAAATGCCGTCTACACTGCTAATGTGAAATATTGTCAGGGTGTATCCAAACTGGATTTTTATATCACATCAGTCCTGGGAAGCGGTACAGGAGTGACGTAGTCATTTCCATGTGTTTATTTTTTCATGCACCTTACTTAATTTAGATCGGCTTCCCATACCACGTGTGCGCACATCTAATTCGCATTGCAAACTATATGTAGAAGTGCAGTTTAATGGGTAGACGCTTAAACTGAAGATTCACTTGTCTGTTGGTTACCTAAGTTTCTACTCCAAACACCATACGGGATTTATCAGTCACAGGATATTTCACACGTAACAAATCGTTGTTCGTTATACAATAACTGCTAATAACCAAAAGGCTTGAAGTGTGCGATAGACAGGTAAAATGTTAACATGGTCAGTATTATAAAAGGGTGAACTAGGAAACGCTGTTTTCGTATACAACGTCTTAAATGTTTTATAAGTTCCTGTAAGTTACATTTGAATATTTAGCCTCATGCAAGTTGACTATGTTCTCGGTTGCATGTGTAATGGATATAGCAAATTTGAGCAGTCCACAGCCTACGGTGGTTGCTTGCTGCGACAAAAGAAACAATTTAAAAGCGGCATTAGGAAAATCTCAGGTGCCAAATTTTCACACCTGACAAACTGGTTAGCACCGTCCAAAGGTTGCTTATGTTAACTTTGCTTCCATGTTTACCTAACCTGATTGTATTGAGGGCATTATACAATTAATGAGTAAGTGTGATAAACAGTGCATAACCAATAAAGGCAATATGGCTGACGAGTAGTGAGGATTTTGCGTAACTTTAGGCGCGGGTCGTGGCAGTACACTATAAGTAAAGCAGATGCCCTTAAGATTCACTAAACAGATGTTTTAACTTCCGGGGTCTCCTCAATGGTGCATGTTCCTTGGCTTCCTGCCGGGTTTCGACCTCTTGACTTCCGGATACAAGCAGCTTTGGAGAATAAGCCACTGGTGACGGCTACGTATTTACATAACTGACAATTGACAACCAAATGGGGTAACTCATCCTCCACAATCATGACGGTTACGAACCGTGCAAAGGACAGTCGCTCCATGGAAAGTCGTTTATCTGTGGCAAACCACTGTCCTCTCCACGGTTCGCAAATAGCATGGCAGTGGTTGATGCGCCGCGCTATATCATAATCGGCTGTCAGTCATGCAGGTACGCGGCCATCACTCATGGCTTAGTGACACAAGTCGCTGGTATCCGCAAGTCATGGCGTCAAAACCTGACAAGTGACCGAGGAACACGCACTACTGACAAAATCCAAAAGGCATAAAAAGCGATCTGGTGCTTTGCCAGACTTGTAGGAACCTGCCTGACTGCGAAAGGACTGTGACAAACTAACTTTAAAAGGCCGTACTGCTTTATGCGCCAACGGAAAACATTTTAAGCCTTTTCCATTACAATTGTGGGTAATAAAGCATGGCAGTTTTCTAAAATATATATAGACGTCACTCAAGTAAACGTCAACGGATTTCATCGCTAAAAGTCTTGTAGTGCGCAGAACAAAGGACTTAGTTGCTGTACCAGCAAAATAGCCCTAAACTTTGAACACTTGACAACTAACTGAGAATTACTGGTAAATCTCTGTGAAAGTATTAGTTACGTTCAT